GCACTTGATCTGGCGACCACATCTTGTTTCTTACTTCTCCATGTCACCAAGTTACCACAAAGAAATATGCAATAACCAGTGGTAGAACGACGGTCAGTCACGGATCTAGCATAATCAGCATCTGTGTAGACTTCTAAAGATAGATTGCCATCACGTCGGGATAACAACCCTTTACCAGGAGTACCTTTCAGATACTGAACAATTCTCTCTACTGCCTGCATATGTTTCTCCTTTGGATCGTGCATAAACTGACTGACAACACTAATAGCATAAGCTATGTCTGGTCTAGAAACACCGCCGGACGCGCCTCCACGCGCCGGAGAAAGCAGCTGCGCGTGGGCTTCACTCTCGGACAAAGAGGCGGCCCGTGAGAGCGCGTGGCAAGGCTTTTCCGGATGAAATTTTTCCGGTGTGGTCTTCCGTTGAGCGCGCACCTGTCTGTGGGTGGTTGCGGTTGAAAAGTCACCGGAAAGGGTTCTAAACGGTGAAGACAGAACTGGTTGAAGGCGGTCGGAGGTGTTTGGGTCGTTTGTGGCGGAGGAACGTTGCGTAGAATGATAGAACGAAAAAAAAGAAGGTCAACAGTGGTCCCCTTGGTCCAAAAGGTCCCCGGAAAATTTTTTCCGGTGGCAGTTGATGGCGGCAAGAGGCAAAGAAATTAGGGTTTTGTAAAAAAAAGACAATAGGCGCGGAAGCAGAGCCCTCAAGATCGAGAGCTCTGATACCAACTTGAAAAAGGGTTATGAAATATTATTGATTTGTATTTGAATATGTACATAGGGGTCTCTATTTATAGAGACTTTTTGACCTAATTTTGACCTAATGGGCTTGGCTCAATATACAAGTAACAGACTAAATAAATACAAATAAATGACTACATAATTACTAATAAATGACTACATAATTACTATTCACAACAATTTTTTTTTATTTAATTCTTTGGATACTTGTTAATCCCGTGATTATCATTTCGGGATACTTTAGCTACGACAACTTGATGATTCGGAACATTCAAATTCAATCAAATGAATTTCCTTAAAATTATTTTCAAAATTAAAATCACTCAATACACAAATATTTTTTACAAAATGATGTAGCTTTGAGTTCCCTATTGTACAAAGGGATATGTCGAAGCAAGAACTCTCCCGTCAAGCCCAAAATATTTTTTTATACTTTAGACTTTTTTGTAAATAAAAAATTCTATTTAATTCTTTGGGTGAAACAAATATTTTAAAAAAATTATTAATAATTTACACAATTAATTTAAAAGTGATTTTTTAAACAAAGGGTGTACGATGCTATTACTTTCCTTATTCGTAATCGGCTCCCGAATCTACTTTCGTTTTCAAAGACCTTTTTTCTCTTTACAAAAGTGGTTTTCCATTGTTTTCCCAAATATATTTTGGTAGCAGCTCCATTATTTCAATTTTTTATTTTATTTTCCATTGCTATCATGTTCCGATCTAATTGTGATAATATGCTTATGAATATTGTGCTTGAGAAATGGTAGCTTGTCACAGTTTAATGATGATTTGGACCCATACTAAACGGAATGAAAGATCCATTCCAATAAATGGTCCAGAGGCCCAATAATGAAGAATTAATCTAAGAAAATATACATACAATGTATACATGCAATCCCAAAGTGCACTACTCATCTTGCACTAGCACATGACTCGTAAGCCCCCCTTAATAGTAAATAGTTAAAGGAAAAACACAAGATTCTAACCAAGTTTGGACATCATAACTCACCAAAAGACATTCCACATACGAGACAAGCTAACAAAATCATCATAATCTATCAATTAGAACGCATGCCACCATACTAAAGCAACATAATGAGACAAGTAGGTCGTACCGCTACTATAAAAAGAAAGACTCAAAACTTATGTATCATCATTTTCTTAAATATTACATAAACTCATCACTCAAATATTCACTTAAGTGTTAAAGTGTCTTGCATGTACCCACCCCAACTAGCCCAAATAACGCACACTTCAACTGCATCAGGATCGTCATCCTATTGATTCCATTCGGCGTGGCAGTGCAGCTGATCCAGCCACAAGAACTCATCCAGTTATCAACTTGAATCAAGTTGAACTGTGTATAGTCAGACCAATTCCTTTTTGGACTCATAAAATGATAAATAAGTAACTTGAAATTGGTTATGTATTGGATTTATTTTGTAGTAATGATAAATGATAAGTGATTGTCTCCTACCGTATGAATTATGATTTAAGTATTCGGGATAGGTAAGGCATATGAGGGATTACGATACTAAAATGAAAGTTGTGTACCTCATGAGTATGAGTTACCTCTTATATAACACAATGCTTAATTTGAGATAATATTATTATTGTATCAAAAAAGAAGAAGATAATATTGTTATTTATTTATTTATTTTGACATATCCATCCTAATTACATTTTTTAGATGAGTTGTTTTTTTTTTGGTAAATCACAAGCTTCAATTCTTTGAGCTGGTTATGGAACTAATCTTTTTGTCACTGCTCACCCCTCCCCAAAAATGTATTTGGTGGAAATCGAATTCTGATTCTCTCCTCATTCTATTCAGTATGCATTGCCAACCGAACTACACTAATTGGGTGAGATAGTATTATTTTTAGAGCCGTGTACACTACAGGGTATGTTGTTGCCAGATAAGTATGAGATACAGAAATAATCCGAGATCATCGCAATAATAAGGAAATATCAAAAATCAAATGCAAATCTAAGCTTGGAGTGTGCGATGATTGCTGGGCTCATATTCGAGCCTCGATCCAAAATATTATCCATACTTATTTAAGAACTTTCCTATTATATTTCAAGTTAAATTGATTTCCCTCTTTGATTTGGACATACTTATACGATATGATGGGTGTATTAGAAAGGAGTTCGTATCGAACAATACGATATTGTATATTACGATACGATACGTGTGTCATACGATACAAAAATTAAATCAAAATTTATAATTTTTAATATAAAATAAATAAATAAAGATTTGATTTGCTATTTAAATTAAAAAAAATAAAAGGATCCTTTTTGGAAGGGAATGATGGATTACTTATGTCACTTATAGACGCTGATAGTGATAATAGTAATATATTAGTCTTAATGGTTGATGAATAGAAGAATAACCGGTTTGTACTTTAATTATTTATGTATTTTGCTTATTGGATCCTTTTTGGAATTTGAAATTATATGATATTAATTATATTATAAATATTTAATTTATTTTTTATTATATTTTTGTTTCTTACGATTCGATACGATTTAACAATTTTTTGATACAAAAAATCTGTCAAACGATACACGATACGTATTGCGATTCAACAACTTTACTTTTAAGAATTAAATTATTTGATGAATTTTTATGAAATTGATTTCTTATAAACAAATTATAAAAAATAATACAAAATTAATTCAATCAAACTGATATACATTTTAAACCTAACCATCGGATGAAACTATAAAAAAAAAAACTAATTGTATCAGTAAACATTTTTCTTTAAAACCGTCTCAATTCAATCGACTGGGACAGTGAAACTCTAATTATTAGTAACAATTAACAATATGTTTGTCTTTTTTGTTTTTCATTTTTATAGGTGTTTGAAAATTCAAGAGTTGTGGCGCTTCTCATATCCGGCACGCTATTCTATCTTCATTATTAAAATACCACAGCACAACATGCATGTATAGCAATCACTATCAGATACCAAACCGATTCACATTACGTGCTCAAATTTCTTGTTTTGTGGCGTTGTTTGATTCTTGGCCTTTTTTACCCTGATAGTTCGTTCATGATGGAACGATATACCAATGATGATTAACTAAGTAGTGAATTGAAAGTAAAAAATTTTAGTAGTAGGAATATCTCTTCTCTTCTTTTTATGCTTTACTCACTGCAAAAGTAAAAATACCAATTTGAATGCACACCAAAGAGAGAGACCGAGACAGGTGGGGGTCCTCTGTGGGAACTTTTCTTTCTTGCTCAACAGGGCAAACCATCCAAAAAATTTATGTTCATTCAATTCCATTATCCATCTTTGACTGTTCTGTACAATTATTCACCCCCACCCCTGTCAAATTTGTATCCCTCCATATGCATTTTGCATTTTTCTATTCCCTATACCCTTCTCTCCACTACCCATAATCAATCTTTCCACAATCATAACAAAAGTGAATAAAAAAAAGAATATCTCATCACATGCCCTATGATGCATTACATGTACAACTATTGTGACAATCTCTCCCCACAATAAAAACAAAAAAGCATCCGTTCCATGTCCATTTGCAATGGCTATGAGAAAAATTTAGCCATCACAACAAGTAAGGTCTCCTTTCCAATCTTGGATTTAATTTTAACACCAATATCTCAGATTAAACTTTAAATCACCCATGTTTGCAGCAGTAACTGATGTATCCTGATGATGATAGTTTGTTCCAATTTAATTCCAACCGTCTTTCTCCGAGCATTTCATTTGTCCTCTACAAAGATTCTGTGAATGAAATCCCTAAACCTTTTGGAGTATAGCTTGGGATCAACGGCTGAGATCGAGGTTGAATCGACTTGCAGTGACTTGTATGCATGCTCTAGCTTTTTGCTAATATCATAATCTTGGAGAATGTCAATGATACCAAAGTAGAGGATTACATCCGAGATCTCACCATTACTCTCTGAAGGGGTAGAATTGCTACTTCCAGTACCTGTGTGCTGATCCAATCCAGCTTTACATACTCTCTCAGCTATTGGCAGGCATGTTTGTTCCCAGCCGAGGTTTCCTAGAAATATCAAGAATCACCACATTTATGGATAAAATTAGAATTTAAATCAAATATTTACAAAATTAGGATGTAAACTAACCTATTAGGAAGAAGGCCCAAGAGAAACAAGAAAAGTAAAATTTATACCTAAATCTTGCTAAAGTAATTCTGTAATTATTAATTTTCTCTCTTGGCTAGATTATATCTTTAAAGAGTAAATCCTGTAACTATAGTTTAGAAAGTAAGAAAAACATAAACTTATCTATTTTTAAATCAAACATTTTCTATTTTTATGTTACTGGCACAAATCTTCAAGTCCTAGTAACAATTACTGCTCCATCAATATCACTGTCAATTAACAAATAGCTTTGCAAAGAAGGTTTTTCCACTTTTCAGAAATATCAAATGACCCCACCAGCATTTGCTGTCAACAAAACTGCCTCAAATTTTTCCATGAAAACTTCAGTTATTTGTGGTACATCTCAACCAACAGGATCATATTCATTAAAGAAGATAACTAAATCACCCACCCCTAAATCACATCGACAGGAGAATGGAAAATATAATGTTGATTCATCTGCCATTGCTTGGTTTCTACACATGACTTGTGGTCCAGATCCTCTTAGCTATTGGCATGTGCATGTGTGATATTGATAGTTTAAGACCGTAGCATTTTGCTTCTGTTTGTTATATGCCTAGGTCCAGACGGACTAAAGCTCAAGCACAGGGCACATACAAAAAAATGAAAGCAGTCGCTACCAATGGGTGCAAGCAATAGAAACAAAAATGCTAAATTCCCTATAAATCATCTAGTCATAAAATGCGGCAACTAAGAATGGTCTATGTTAAGTCGAATCCAAATTCCCTTAATTAACTTGATTTCTACAATGAATGCTGGGTTAGAATTCACATAATAGCTTGAGCTGATATTAATAGAACTTTGTCAAGATTTCTAAATCTGCAAACATTGTCTTTTTAGGAATATAAATGAATATGGAGGAGGACAATCTTAACAGTTCATTTTTGTTACTTCATAGCAATTAATTCTACACGTTGAAACAACAAAGACAACTATATACAGGGATAAAGAGAGAAAGGCATACCGGCCTATGGGTTTCCGCTTCATATCCTGCATCTCATCGTTTTGCATGTCTCTCTTGCCTGCCAAATCCATATTCCCACATATTTTTAATCTCTTTTGGATCCATTAAGTTTACATGAGAAAAGGAAACATGGAAGTATGGAACTAGGAAGTAAGAAGACATATACCTGAACACAACTCATTTGGTGAACTTTTTATTTCATCAAGTGAGTAATCATCACGAAAATGAAGGCCAATCAGAAAACTGTAATCCATTATCCCCTTGGCTTCCAGGAATTCACAGTATCTATCAATTTGCCTGAGCATAAGTCATTACAAAAGACCAACTCTAAGAACATCACAAAACATGTTGAAAGTAAAAGCAAGATGCAACTTGGCAGCACATTCTTTACCATTTAAGCTCTTGAAACCAAGACTTTTCCAAGCGAAAGACAAAACTAAGATCAAGGTCTTTAAGAGTGGTAGTCTCATCAATCTCCTCCTGCGGTTTATCTGTTGTGCGCTTATGAGAAGAACCTTTGAGGTCAAACCGCTTATGAATCCGATACTCCGAACAGAATACATTGTCCATTACAACAAACCGAGTCTGTTTATTCATATCATAGCGTTCATCACATTGTGACAAGCATTCGTGTAGTATCAGTTTATAGCAAATTTTAAATTTGAAAAATCATACCTTCTGACCTCCAATAGGTTTGACACAATGTAAGCCCAGGAATTTTGTTACCATGGAGTTCTTGTACTGAGAAACATGTTGATAGTAACTTCGAAGCATCCTGATGAGCACCTGACATGGCCACCAACTAATTATTGAATACCCAGGGGAAAAAGCATGGTGATCAAAATCCGAAAGTGAGATTTTACCTTCCTTAATATAGGTTTATAGTTTTCTCATCAAATTTAATGCATCTTCAGAGACTAGAAACTAACCTTGACTTCAGACTTCTTCAAGGTCTTGATAATAAACCGGTCGTCCTGAGTGAGGTAAAAAAAGCTCCCGCTTTTGCCAGGGGAAGACATCTCTCTAAGTGTGTCACTGCCGCAAATAGAAAGCATGTAATCCTCGGGATCTATGGCAGATAATTCCCTTAAATGTCTAAATACCAAACAAACAAACAAGTACCCACCAAAAGACATAATTAGTATCCACAGCCAAGCTTTTGCCTTGCTTAGAAATCAAAAAAGGTTAAAAACAACAAAAACAACAACAAGAAACATCAATCAACTCAAGAAGATTGATATAGAAAATATTCACACCTGAACACCACAGGACAGTAGTCTTTCCACCTGAACGCAGGGAACCTCGTCCAAAACTTCTCCTTTGGATCAAAATCATAGTCTTGCAGCATCGAAGCATGCTTCCCAACAGAGTATCTAAAAGAAAAACAAAACAAAAAGTTCCTAAAAATAAAAATAAAAAAACATAGAAAACCACAAGCATACTGCTATTGCTAAGCCAAGCTGAATATAAAAGTTCAAAACTAGCAATGTAGATAAGATACCTGATACCCAGTTGAAGATTAAGCATCAAATCGTAATTCTTCTGTCCCTTGGATACATTATGACCAGGTTTCTTAACATCCCCATCAACCTCAGAACAGTCGTAATTCTTCTGTCCCTTGGATACAGTATGACCAGGTTTCTTAACATCCCCATCAACCTCAGAACAGGGACTCCCATCACGCCAAGTGAAAACACCTTCCCCATTCGGAACCCCGTTCTCCCAATACCCTTCGTAACGGTTGCCGTTCTGCCACGTCAGCACCCCCTTCCCCGATATCGCACCACCCTTCCACTCCCCAACATACTCGTTCCCGTTCTTCCACATATACCTCCCCTCACCCTCCTGCAAGTTGCAACTCCATGACCCTTCATACACGTCACCATTAACGTAACATTTCTTGCCGAACCCGTGTTTCCTGTCGGAAACCCACAACCCACGGTACGTGTTCCCGTCGACGCTAATGAGTGTTCCGTAACCGTCCATCCGACAGTCAACGACCTCGCCCTCGTAGGTTGCCCCCGACGGCCACGAGAACCTTCCATTGCCGGAAGCCTTTCCCTTTTTCCACTCTCCCTCGTACATGCAACCGTCCGACCATAGGTATTTTCCGGCGCCATGAGGCTCGTTCCCCAACGAGCTTCCGATGTAGATGTCTCCGCTCGGGAGCTGTTTCTCCACCGCGACGGGCGACACTCGCCGGGTCCGCGGTGGCCGGCGACGCGAAGGCGCGACCACTCCTATCTCGCTGTCTTTATCTTCTTCTTCGGATTTCTTTTTCTTTGCATTAAACTATTGCTCCCAGAGAGTAAGCAGCGTCATTTCTTTTTTTCTCTTCCTCTTCACCGTAGCGGCGGCGATATTTCCGGCGGAGAATGGAATGGAGCTTTGTTTAGTGTATGATGAAAAGTTGGGAAAATCTAATGACAATAATGTTACTGTTGCTGCTTCGAAGAATGGGACTATATAAGAGAAGTTAGAGAGAGAGAGAAACTGGTAAATGCCAACAACGCGTAGGGAACATTATGAGGCGCGAACATTATGGGAAATTATCTTACTGTACATGGGATGTACTCGTTACTCAATTCAGTATATTTCCTTTTTCAATAAGAGAAAATACCATTTTCATTTAATTCATTTAATTTCTCCTTCTCATAATGCCATTGGTACCTAAAATTCGGCGTGGTCTATTGTATTTACAGGAGTATTATGTTAGTAGAGATATTTGAACGCTGATTATCTGCTGAATCTCTGTGGTGGTTGATGATGATGTCGCCGTTAACGTAACGGGGTGTGTACGAAATTTTTTTTTTTTTTGTTAGTCAAAATATATAGTATTAAGTGTTGGATATATTTTTTTATCATAGATGATAAAAAAAAATAACCTATTTATATTATTCATATTTTTATTATCATTGCCACAAATATTTATTTTTTTCCTTTTTTTTGAAAGGGAATAGGTATTTCGTTGTACGGAAATTGTATTCAGCGTGTACATATAGAGATTTTATTCTCAAAGATAGTATAAATAACGCAATTAGGATTAATTAGGGAATCACTCATGACTATGATAGTAAATATTGAAATATTTATTAATTTTATAGGATGATGAAATATTTCCTGATAAGCGTTATTTTCTTATATTTTTATTTTTTTTACATCAATCAATATTTGAAATTCTATGTTACGTACAGCTATTTTAAAGAATTTGAATTCAAATTAAAAAATTCTATTTCAAGCAGATAAATAAGTGCACAAAATATTTCTTTTTCTCTAATAATTTCATTCCATAGAATAAGAGTTTAAATAGACAAAGAGCAAGAGATATCAACCACAACCATGATTCCTCTAATCACATATCACTAATAATTAAAATAATACCCCATATCTCACTGTCTACATAACTACACTATATTGGACTAAGCAAAATTATAATAATCAATTCTAAACATTCTAATGGGCTCGATTAATTCTATTTTGGGCATGAGTCTCTTTACTCTTTGTAAAAAATTTACGACTCACAAAAATCAAATATATTACTCTTTAGGCAGATGAATAATCGATCTAAGTTTTATTTACTATTTATGGCTATTGGCATATATTTTCTTTTCTTTCTTTCTATTTTTTTTATAGGTATACCGATCCAATGTGGCATGGATTTTGAAACTCGTTGTTAATATAATATTATTGATATTAATTTGAATTAGAATGAAGCAATTAAGGGAAAGAGATAGTTGGCATAACGAATAATCCCACCCATTCATACCGTGCTATGTCTGTAAAATGGTGTGGCGTGATAGGATGGTACTCAAATAAAATTTCAATTTTCTCCAATGGTAAATTGTAAGATATAAACAACAAATTTCGAGAAGCCCAAATAAAGTGAGGCTAGCTAAAGCGATGCAAAGAAATGTGAAACTCTGTTTCGTGACTTTTTGTTAAAAAAAAAACGATGCTTATTTGCAGCATTTACATTACAATAAATGAAATGAAAAGGGTGATATTACACGAAACATGATGCATGTTTCACAACTTCCACATTCAATCTAGACTCGGATTTAAAATCAACAAGTTCATAAAGCATTAGATAAAAATGCTTTCATGTTAACTAGCACTTTTTTTGTTCTGGTATTTGTTTGCTAGGAAATATTGTGTGTCAACAACTTTTTGCGAATGACATTTCATGAATAGGACCAAATCATACATAGTTCATGCTTAATGCAAGAGTTTAACCACGAATTTTTACTAAATTGTTAAAACAATTAATTTGACTTCATTTAACCTGCTATTTATTAACGAAAGTCTCCAATATGCAAGCGACAAACAACCATACACTTTTTTTTTGGAAAAATAATAATAATAATATATGTGAGATTGAGCTATAAATTAGGATGTAATTATGAAATGCTTTGATTGCGGGATTTAATTATGCTAAAAAAATCAAAACGTTCATAATGTATCAGGTAATATTAAAATATTCTAGAGAATTTTTTTAGATTAATTTTTCTTAAATTTTATTATTTATTTCCTTATTTTTGAGTAATATGGATTAATATTTAATTTTTTGAATCACATCAATATATGATATTCTTCTGTTTATTGTTCTTTCCTTCCTTATTAATTATTTACCTAAATTCCAATAATTCCAATCATATACACTTAAAGTTAAACAATAGTATTTCCAACATTATTTTTTTCTTAAATTAATTATAACTCCTTAGGAGCACTATCAGATTATAGGCTGTACTGTTTACCTGTTACAATCGTATATTCTAAGGGAATTGACTATATTAAATGGGAAATGTTATAGTTACTACTTATTTTTTTTACTACTTGTTACTACCAAATCTTAACCGTTGATTTCTGTCAATCTAACGGTTATAATTTATTGAATATTAATAATTAATTAATAAGTATGATTCCATAAATTACAACTGTTAGATTGACGAAAATCAGCGGTTAAAATTTAGTAATAACAAATAGTAAGAAAAATAAGTAGTATCTCCATATTAAATTGCAACAAGTTTGCAACCATTTTAAAATGCAGTTCAAACGTGGTGTTATTGGAGAAAAGGGCAAAGTGCCAAGTGGTGTGTCCCATGACGTTGGTTTCATTGGTCACTTTGATCTGTGATTATTGTCGGCCGAAAAATAAAACACGTTTCATGCGCCATATATTGGGGCCTTGCTTTCTGTGCCATGTGGTACCCTCAAACACAACAAATCAAATTATCAACCAAGCAAATTTGATACCGTTCCATTTTATTTTGTAACCGTCGAAGAAATAAAATAAGGTCATATCTTATTTTCATCAATCAACGGTTATTATTTTCATAAATCAAATTTATTAATTATTAATTCACAATAAATGATAACGATTGATTGGCGAAAATTAACGATTAAAATGTGATAATAACATTGATAATAACATTATTTTATAGTAATAATATCACATCCCATAAAATAATATCAACCATACTTCTTTTTTTTTCTAACATTCTTCAATCACTTTGATCGTAAGAGGGGACAGTTGGCATAACATGCATAATATATCATGATAAATATATTTCACAAATACTTCATTTTTTATCCGATAATTGTGTATTGAATAATATTTTATGGTATATTTATAAAGAAATTTTTTTAAGATTTATATAGAAATGAATTTTTTACGCAATATAAAGTTGAAATGTTACTCTTTTTTGTAACATAATGAATTTATAACAAATAAATCCTTTACAAATAATATAAACAAAGTCATCATTTTTCTGTCATGATACAGTTACTATAGTCCTCAAGAATTTAATTTACAATAAAATGCAAGAGTGATTCTTTAGAATGTAAGTAGAAATAAATAAATTTGTGCGACCAAAAGTAAAAAAGAAAAATAGAAGTCAATAAGAGTTGATTCAGTTGATCATTTTCATTGATAAGTTATATATAATTTTTTTTTTTGAGTCCATAATAAATTCAGAGACAAACATCAAGTTAATTTTAGACTGATTACATAAAAAAGAAATAAATAAGAAGAAAAAGTTTCCATTTCTTGTTCGAGGTCCTAGTACCCATTTTTTTTAACAGCATTTGCTCTTTTGATAGTTGACAAAAAAAAAATATTTAAATCATAGTATTTTTTTTTCGGATAAAAGGTCATATTATATTTTATACTTTGACATCTCTCTGCTTTTCTTGTTGCTATATTACTCGGTCAATATAATTTTTTTTAATTAAAGTTTAACATTCTTAGTCAGGTTCTTGTATTCGGCAATATTTCTCTAGAGTAATAAATATTAAAATCATCCATGTATGATTAACCAATTGTGTTATATAGGCATCAAATTATTTAGAAATGAGTTGAATATTATATCAAAATGAAATTTAATTTTCCAGGTTTCTATATAACTCAATTAAAACGTTATCTATAGTTATTCTATACTTCTTAAGAAAATATTGTAAATAATAAAAATGAAATTTGAAGCCATTAATTAATGAGAATTTTTATTAATTGTGTATATATTTTTTCCACCTAAAACAATTCTAGACCTGCCGTTAGCGATGTTGCAAAGTATTTTTTTTTTCTATGTATATGTTATAAAAATTTACATTTTGAATAAATAATTTAATTTTACATTGTTTATATTTCACAATCAAGAGAGGAAAAATAAATTGCATTAGATTGTATTAGATTTGATTCCATGTTACTAAACAAGAAATTAGGTGCATGCAAATACCTAGAATAGATGTAACATTTGACAGAGTCGAATCTAGGTATATGAGAAGGGGGCAAGTGCCCATCCTTGAAATATGATTTAAAAATACAAAAATACCCTTCTTTTAGAATTTAAGTTTTTCCAATTTAATATCTGGGTAGGATATTGTTGGTTAGTAATTTTTCAAAAGAAAGAGTTATCGTTCTCAGATAACGGATTGAAGTATATTTTTTTATTTTTCTGAATTAAAAATTCTTGAATTGGAACTTAATTGGTTTTTGTAACAAGAAATTTTTGTATAGTTTTTATCAATCATTAAAACTGATCTAAAAAGTAAAGAATTGATTTATCAATGTTAAAATCTTCTGGGTATATCTCAAATCATGAATGACAACAATATTTGCATTACTGCAAATTCGTACAGTGCTACAACATGTTTATTTCAAATTTGCTACAGCAAGTTTTTGAAACTTTTCAGAATCAACAATAAATCAAGAAAAACTTTTCCCAAGAATCTTTTTTTAATTTTTGATTATTCCTAATCAAAAAGTTTCCAAAAAATTTCAATTTTTTGTTTAAATA